GCAAATGAATGTAACTCATAGTGCATATTCTCATGGCAAAGTTTTGCCCTGAAAGGACTTCCAACCATCATAGTGTTTGGTCTTGTGGGATGGCCAAAGTCATCTTTTATCTACAAAATCAACACTATGCAATTTTAAATTGAAGATACTTTAAGAGCATGCTGTGAGTAACAGTGATGCTTTTAACATGGGTAGCTTTCTATAGTGCTTATAATGAATATCAGGGCATGGACCTCAGAGGCCTTATAGGAATCAATAGTTATTATTGAGAAAAGAAGCCATTATTTTCATGATAATTACTAGGACCTCATGATGAGTTGCCTTCATTCTGACCTTGATATATTTTTTTTATGCACTGAAGCAGTAATTGCAGCTAACTTCTTTTTTCCAATACTCACTGGATATATATATATATATATACACACATATATATATATATATACATTCATAGTCATCGTTGGCATTGACAGGGAAGGATTGCAGTGCAAAATACTGTTATTTTTGTTTCTCCATAAATATCAGTTTGTCTTCTTGGGGAAACCAATGCTAATGTCATTGGTGTAAGGTAATTTTTTTAATGTTTCTGTACTTAAGTTTTTTTTTCTCAAAATGTCTTTCTTTGTTTGAAGACAGTTGGACACACAGAGGACACCACATATGCAAATGTAGTGGAGAGCATTCAGAAGAAAGTTCTCTGTTCCTTGATCCCAAGCCAATTAGTCTGAGGAGAAGTTAGAGTTGATGTTATGAAGCCCTAATTTATGGAACTGGAAAAGATTCCTTAGCTACTTCAGTAACAGACCTTGAAATACCATGACCCTGTCTTCTGGAAAGTCTTTTCCTTGAAACACACCTTCCTTCCATTTGTCAGTGAGGAAAGCTTGAGTGTGGCCAGAGCAAGAACTGGCAAGGCATCACTGTATAATCTTGTGTGCTTCTGGTGATCTATTTAACTAAAGATGTTTACTAGAGAGCTGGATTTAAGTAGGTACTGAGATGAGCAGCACTGCTTGTCACACTGACAATGCAGTTCCCTGCACCAGTGGGTTGTTGTCTCTCTACTGTGCTGTCAATGGCCTGGGGTACAAATAAGTTCATAGTAGTTTGTCTTACCATCTAGAACAGATGCTCAAATAGCACAGCTTGTGTGAAGGAGGAATTGATAAAGAGTGCAGCTGGGGTGCGAATGGTACAAGAAACTCCATCCGTCATTTTGCAGCAGACACAATGAACGGCTCAATTGTTGCTGCTAACAATTGTTAACCGTTTCATTTGCTCTAGACAAAGTATGATCCCGCTGAAAGCCAACTCAGAAATACAGTGACAGGGAGAGTCTTTTTTCCATTCATTTGGATTCATTCACTGCACAGATTCTACTGGCTCCTTCAGGACCAAGACCTTCCGCTATTGCTCACCTATTGCAGCCCACTTGTCCATCGTGAGGTCTTGAAGCTGGCCAGCTTATCTCTAGATAGTGGAAAAAATAGCCCTAATGGTGAGGGAATAGTGTTAGTACAACAGGCAAAAAAGAAATCTTTGACATGAAGGTGTTTTGCAATTGGGCAATAATACAAAAGGTACAGTTTTGAGAGAACCACCCCTAGGAATACTCTTCCTTACATTAAAAACCTTCACTGCTTTGTGACCTGAGTCTTGTCTCTCGAATTGGTTTGATGTGTCTTGTTTAATGTTTTCCTCTGCTGCAGGGCTTATATTTACGCCCGTCTTTGCAACCTTTCACATAAATTTGATAGCAGTCCTGACAACTCTAGAGGGTCTCTTGGTATATGTGAAACGTTTCTTTTTAGAACAAAATATCTACCGGAATGATATTTCTATTTTTATCTGCTTGCATGTTAACAATATTCTCTTTGTAATTGCTGATTGAGGCCTACCTCGCAGGAGAGTGAAGGCAGTCTTATGAATGGAGATGAAAAGACTTTTCACAAACAAGAAGTGTTTGGTCTAATCTAAGCTAGAGACTTATTCTAGTTGTTCCCTAAACAAAAAGTTTTGAGGTGTGTTGTTCTTAAAAGTAGTAGTGTTTGGTCTGTTTTTCGAATCGAGGGAGAAAGAGGCAAACACCATCGATATGTTACGCTTTTAATGATAGGAGAAAGATAATAAGTATTACCAGCTAGCTGGGGTCCGGGCTTTTTCCACGCAGGGGTTACACCACGGACCCCGACCACCTCGCATTCTGTGCTTTTTTACCCTTCCTACCCCAAGAATGTTCCCCCTCCCGTTTTCCTGTTCTGCTTTCATATCAATGTTATCTGTATTTTATTGCTGACTGGAACATCTGGATAAGCAACCCCTCCATGCAGAACATCCTGACATGCCATTTATCAGGAGTCCTTGCAGATAGGACTAAGCATAGACTAGTCTATTAGTATACTCTACATTAACTATTTAATCCCTACATTCCCCCCTTTTTCTTTTGTTCATATCAGAGAATCTTTTCTCGATTCTTCTGATGTTTGTCGCATAAGCGTTATGTGCATAGAATTAACTCGATTTGTAGCTTTATCCATAACCCCCATTACACATTTCCATATTATACAGATACATAGTAACAGCAATAACAGAATTACAAATATGCATAATCCTTCTTTTATCGGTCCTGATATCCACTCAGGTAACCCTCCAAACAATGACTCCAGCCATCCGTCCATTAGTCCTTTTTCCTGTGTTATCTTCTGAGTGTGATCCTTGAGCCAGCGCAATTGTTGGTGAATCGATTGGCTATGATCAGACAGGTTAAAACAACAAAGTCCTTCAAACTCTTCCATGTCCATGTGCGAGGAGCAAAAAGTCTAGAGCTGCCCTATCCTGTAGTAGTGCATGTCGCAGGCTGTTCTGATCGAGCGGGAGTTGTTCCAATACTTCGGTTGTCACATTCGCTTGCTTCTCACTCCAGCAAACTAACTTCGAGAGTTCCTTTAGTGCGTTTCCTGCTGCAGCTCCTGGTACAAAGATAGCTAAGGCCCCCCCGCGCAGTTACAGATATTAATTGTACATTATCATCACATTCTGGTGTTAAAGCAAGGGAGAGCTTCTGCCTTCTTTGTTCTTGCCTCATAATTAACAACTTAGCTCTAGACAGGGCTATCATTCCAGTTGCCCTAAATAACACGGTCCCCCATAGGCATTCTTAGGTATTCCCTGCCACACTCTATCCCCACAAATTAAAAACACTCCCTCTGGTAAGGCCTTAGCGGTACCATTATTCCATAGTAAATCTGTCCTATTATGTACCTGTCCTGATGGATCCCCCCATATGTTCCTAAGGGTAATCCCACAGAGAACTGTTCTTGTAACCTGTCGACTGTCCCATTTATCCCACAGAATGTCCCGTTTGCATATATGGGACCGAAGGTTCCATCTCCTCCTATGGTCTTACGCCAGTCGAATATTGGGTCGGGAGATATATCAGTCCAACCCAAAACATTTCACCATTGGGGTCTAGGGCCTCCTTTAATTATAATGTTCCATTGTGCCAAGAGTCTCACTCCTCCCTTTTCTCCAAAAAAACTTGCCCCCAAACATAAAACACGTTTGGGTCCAATTATCGGAACTATTTCCGATCGCCTGGGCTCCCATTAAATTAAGCTCTTGTGGGTCGCAGGGCAATGAGGTATTTAATCCCTTAATTAGCCTTACAGCACATTCCGAGGCATTTACTACCCCTGAACAATTTCCCGTAGTTACTTTTTTTTTAAAACTATCTTCATCAAATCCCGGCTTCCCAAACAAACAAGTTCTGAATGGGTTATTAGCGGTGGTGAGGGACAGGCAGAATTCCTGATTCCCTGTCGTATTTGCCCAAGTCACCCACATATTATTTCTCTCCTCTATTTTATATATTCCATCAGAACACTTCAAAATAGTAATTGACAGGACCATAATCACCCAAATTGTGCTACTGTACCTTTTTCTCAATTTCAATTTCAAAAGATTGTTGCTATTCTTTTGGACCTCCCACTCCTCTGCTTTCTTCTGCTCTTCTTTGTTCAACTTCCGGACGTGGGAATGGTGAATCCAAGGTCCTATTCCATCAACCTTAACGGTAGTGGGTGTTACTAATATTACTACATAGGGCCCCTTCTATCTACTTTCTAATGTTTTTGGGTTATGCCTCTTCACCCACACCCAATCCCCAGGTTCAATATCTATTTCTGACCCCTTCTGATTTCTTTTATACCAATTTTGTAGTAATGGGAATAATTCATCTTGTATTTCTTTTAAGATTTGTGTTTCTTTCCCCACTCCTGAGTTCTTACTTATTCCTCTCCTTATATCTAGTGGATATACTGGGGGCAGGGTCCCAAACATTATTTCAAATGGTTTAAATTCTAATACATATGGAGTTATCCGGGCCCGGTAAAGGGCAAAAGGTAGCATTGTCACCCAGTTCTCTCCAGTCTCTTTTACTAACTTAGCAAGCGTTTCCTTTAAAGTTCTGTTCATCCTTTTTACCTGACCCGAGCTTTGAGGATTATAGGTGCAATGCAATTTCCAGTTTGTTCCCAACGCTCGGGCTAATTCCTGTGTAATCCTTGCCACAAAAGCTGGTCCATTATCAGACCCAATGCTCACCGGTATCCTATACCTGGGGATTATTTCTTCCAAAAGTATTTTTGCTACCACCTGGGCTGTTTCTCATTTAGCGGGGAAGGCTTCCACCCACCCCGAAAATGTGTCTACTAATACCAATAAACATCTATACCCATATTTACCTGGTCTTATCTCTGTAAAACCTACCTCCCAATGCCTTCCAGGTTCACCACCTCTTTCTCTTATACCTTCATGCACCTTTCTGACCCTCGATGGCTTCATTTCCTGGCATGCTTGACACCCTTCTATTATCCCTCTTAATATTTTCCTCTGATCTTGGAATCTCAACCCAAACTTTTCTATTAACAGTCCCATTTTTCTTTCCCCCAAGTGTGTGGTGCTATGCAACTGCCGCGCCATCCTCTGTCCCATTTGCTTGGGAATTAACATTCTTCCTCCTGTATCGTAATATCCTCCTCCAGCACCTTGTTCTTCTGCAACTGTTGGATGCATTCCCTCTCCTCCGGGGTGTATTCATCCTCCCCAATTTCCACATCTTCTCTTAACATGTTGTGGGTCAGCGCTAGTACCTTTTGTATTTGTCCTTCTAACGCGGCTTGCCGGGCTGCACTATCTGCGACTGCATTCCCTCTGGTTTTTGCATCAGTTTTCTTCTGATGTCCTAAGGTATGCATAATTGCCACTGCTTTAGGTTTCTGTAAAGCTGATAATAAGTGCAAAACCTCTTCTTTGTTTCAGGTCTCTTTTCCTGTAGAGGTGAGAAATCCCCTTTCTCTGTATATTGCTCCGTGTATATGCACTGTCCCATATGCGTAGCGACTATCTGTATAAATCGTCACTCGCTCTCCTTCTGCCATTTCTAATGCCTTAGCCAAGGCTATCAGTTCCGCTCTCTGAGCCGAAGTGCCGTCTGGTAAACGCTGGCTCCAAACTATCTCTCCCTTCTGATTTACCACTGCAGCTCCTGCCCTTCTTTTTCCTTGCTCGACCAAGCTACTTCCATCTGTAAACCACACTTTTCCCCCTTGCAGCGGCTCATCCTTTAAATCTTCCCGCACTGTCGCAGTTTCAGCTAACACCTCCTGACAATTATGCACAGGTGTTTCATATTCTGGGTTAGGTAGGAGAGTGGCTGGATTTAAAGTCGTTGGGGACGTATACATAATCCTTTCTGGGTTTAAAAGTAAGGCTTGGTAATGAGTCAGCCTAGCATTTGTTATCCATCTTTCAGGCGGCTGTTTGAGTAATGCCTCTACGTAATGAGGAGCCGTTACATACAGTTTTTGCCCAACTTGTTTCTGCCTTAACACCCCCTTAGCAATCCCTGCCTTTGCACTTACATATAAATGGAAGTCTTTAGTTGGATCAGGGAGTGCCAGTGCAGGAGCCTTTAACAGAGTCAACCTTAGTTTCTCAAAGGATTTTCTCATAGTTTCAGTCCATTGCCAGTCCGGCTTTTCTCGACTCACCTCATACAGGGGCTTTGCTATTTCTACAAACCCAGGAATCCACAAGCAGCAGTATCCCACCGTCCCCAAAAATTCTCAGACCTCTCTAGGAGATTTTGGTTCCTGTATTCGGAGAACAGTCTCTTTCATGGCATCAGTCAGCCATCTACCATCCCGTATTTTGTATCCCAGATACATGACTTCTGGACTACGTAGCTGAGCTTTCTTAGCACTTAATCGATATCCTAGTTTATTCAATTCTTGCAACAACATCCTCGTACCTTTTTTCACAGTCCTCTTTAGTTCTTGCTGCTAGCAGTAAATCGTCCACATACTGAAACAATTTTATGTCTGGATTCTGTCTCCTGAAATCACTCAAATCTTCTTGCAGTATTTCATTAAATAAAGTCGGTGAATTTTTGAACCCTTGTGGTAATCGGATCCCAGTTAACTGACCCTTGTATCTGCTCTCGGGATCTTCCCATTCAAAAGCAAACACTGCCTGGCTCTGTTCCATCAGGGGGATGGTAAAAAAAAAAAAAAAAGCATCCTTTAAGTCTAAAACCGTATACCATCCCATATCTGGTGGCATTGTACTTAACAGAGTATATGGATTCGGGACCGTAGGATGCACATCCTCCACTCTTTTGTTAACTTCTCC